TTTTGTGAAAGTATGGTGCCGATCACATTGTTGTTTTGTGTAACCTTGTACCGGCTGCATAGTGTGAGGAAAGTATGGTGTTGACTGCATGTTGTTTGTGTTACCTTTGGTACGGGCTGCGTAGGCATGCGTGAAAGTATGGCGTTGACTGCAATGTTGTTTATGTTATCTTTGTACGGGCTGCATAGTGTGTTTGAAAGCATGGCGTTGACTGCACGTTGTTTGTGTAACCTTGTAACAGGCCGCATAGTGCGTGAAAGCATGGTGCTGGATCATTGTTGTTTTGTAACCTTTGCGCCAGGTTTTCGCTGCATAGTGCGGAAAGCATTATGTAGACTGCATGTTGTTTCAGGTGGTTACCTTGTACACGCCGCATTAGTGTGTGAAAGTATGGCGTTTATCGCACGTTGTTTGCGTGTTCCCTTTGTGGCCAGCTGCATAGTGTGAAAGCATTATGTTGATCGCATGTTGTTTGCGTGTTACCTGTACAGGCTTCGCATAGTGTGTGTGAAAGGATGAGTTGATCGCATTGTTGTTTTAGTATCCTTTGTAACAGGCTGCATAGTGGTGAGTGAAAAAAAGGTTCCTGACTGCATGTTGTTTGTGTGGTTACCTTGTACGGCCGTATAGTGTGTGCGGAGCGACGGTGTTGGATCGCATGTTGTTTGTGTGTTCCGTTTCTACGGGCTGGCATATGTTTGTGAAAGCATGGTGCTGATCGATGTTGTTTGTGTAACCTTGTGCCGCATAGTGAGTGAAAGTATGTTCTGACTGCATGTTGTTTTGTGTGTTACCTTTGTATTGGCTGCATTAGTGTGTGTAAAGGATGGTGCTGATCGCATTTGGTGTTTCCAGGTGTAACCTTGCGCTGGTGGCTGCATTAGTGTGTGGTGAAAGTATGGTGTTGACTGCATGTTGTTTATGTGTTATCTCTTTGGTATCGGCTGCATAGTGTGTTTGAAAGTATGGTGTTGATCAGAATGTTGTTTTGTGTAACCTTGGTACAGGCTGCATAGTGTGCGGAAAGCATGGTGTTGACCGGCATGTTGTTTGTGTAATCTTTGTACAGGTTGCATAGTGTGAAAGCATGGTGTAGACCGGCATGTTGTTTGTGTGTTACCTTTGTACGCCGCATAGTGCGGAAAGTATGGTGTTTATCGCATGCCGTTGTTTTGTGTGTTCCTTTGTACAGGCTGCGTTAGTGAAAGCATGGTGCTGATCGCATGTTGTTTCCAGGTGTTACCTTCGTACAGGCTGCATAGTGTGTGAAAGGATGCGGTGTTGACTCCACGTTGTTTGTGTGTATCCAGGCTGGTATGCATAGCGTGAGTGAAAGTATGTTCTGACTGCATTGCTTTGTGTGGAAACCCGGTTTGGTAATGGCCGCATAGTGTTTGTGAATATATGGTGCCGGATCGGATGTTTAGTAACCCGGTGGCCAGGCTGCATGAAGTGTGGTGAAAGGATGGTGTTGATCGCATGTTGTTTGTGGTAACCCTTGTGGCTGCGCCAGGTGTGTGAAAGATGGTGGGGCTGACTGCATGTTGTTTGTGGTGTAACCTTTGGTATCGGGTTGCATAGTGCGGTGAAGTATGGCAGGTAGACCGCATGTTGTTCCAGGTGTTACCTTTGCACGCCGCATAAAGAGTGTGGCGTTTATCGCATGTTGTTTCCAGGGTGTTCCCTTTGGTATTGCGGCTGCAATAGTGTGGTGAAAGCATGGTGCTGATCGCATGTTGTTTTGGTGGTGTTCCCTCGGTAATGGCTGCATAGTGGTTTGTGAAAGTATGGTGCTGATCACATGTTGTTTGTGTGTAACTCAGGCCAGGCTGCATAGTGTGTAAAGGGAAAGCATGTTCCGACTGCATGTTGTTTGCGTGTTACCTTGCACGGCTGCATAGTGTAAAAGTGAAAGCATGGTGCTGGACTGCACGTTGTTTGATGTTATCTGTACGGGCCGTGTAAGGTTTGAAAGTACGTTGTTGACTGCATGTTGTTTTGTGCGTTATCTCTTTGCACGGGCCGCATAGTGTGTGAGCATGGTGTTGACTGCATGTTGTTTCAGTGTAACCTTTGTACAGGTTGTACAGTGTGTGAAAGCATGGTGAGACCGTACGCTGTTTGCGTAACCTTTGCGGCTGCGGCTGCATGAAGTGCGGTGAAAAGCATGGTGCTGATCGCATGCGGTTTGCGTGTTCCTTTGCGGCCAGGCTGTAATAGTGTTCAGAAAGTGTGGTGCTGATCACATTGTTGTTTGTGTAACCTTTGGTACAGGCTGCATTAGCGTGAGTGAAAGTATGTTCTGATCGCATGTTGTTTGTGTGTTACCTTGTACAGGCTGCATAGTGTGTGAAAGCATGGTGCTGGATCGCAGCCGTTGTTTATGTGTTATCTTTGTACGGCCAATAGTGTTTGTGAAAGCATGGTGTTGACTGCATGTTGTTTCCAGGTGTTATCTTTGTACGGGCTGCATAGGCGTGTGTGAGCATGGTGTTCACTGTAATGTTGTTTGTGTGTTTATCTTTGGTAATGGGCTGCATTGAAGTGTGAGCACGCTGCTGGATCGCATGTTGTTTGTGTGTTACCCTTTGTATTGCGGCTGCATTAGTGTGTGGAAAGCATGGCGCTGGATCGCATGTTGTTTTGTGTGTAACCTCGGTACGGGCTGCATAGTGCGGTGAAAGCATGGTGTTGACTGCATGTTGTCGAAAACCTTTGTACAGGCTGCATAGTGCGTGCGGAAAGTATGGCGTAGGACTGGCATTGTTTGCGTAACCCTTTGCGGGCCAGGCCGCATATGTGTGAGTATGGTGCTGGATCTAATGTTGTTTGTGGTGTTCCGGTTTGTACGGCTGCATAGGTGTTTTGTGAACATATGGCGCTGATCGGATGTTGTTTGTGTGTAACCTTTGTATTGCGGGCTGCATAGTGTGGTGAAAGGATGGTGTTGATCGCATGTTGTTTGTGTGTAACCTTTGTACAAAGGCATAGTGTGAAAGTATGGCGTTGACTGCATTGCTGTTTTGTGTAACCTTGTGCACGGGTCGTATTAGCGTGAAGTATGGTGTAGACTGCATGTTGTTTTGTGTGTTACCTTGTAACATCGCCATAGTGTGCGGTGGAAAGTATGCGTTTATCGTATTGTTTCCAGGGTTCCTCTGGTACAGGCTGCATAGTGGTGAGCGCATGGTGCTGACTGCATGTTGTTTTGTGTGTTCCCTTTGTAATGGGCTGCATAGTGTGTGGTGAAAGTATGCGCTGGATCACAAGTTGTTTGTGCGGTAACCTTTGTACAGGCTGCATTAGTGTGTGAAAGCATGTTCTGACTGCATGTTGTTTTGTGTTACCTTGTCGGCTGCATAGTGTGTGAAAGCATGGTGGCTGGACTGCATGTTGTTTATGTGTTATCTTGTACGGGCTGCATAGCGTCGGAAAGCATGTTGTTGACTGCATGTTGTTTGTGTGTTATCTTGTACGGGCTGCAGTGTGCGGAAAGCATGGTGTTGACTGCATGTTGTTTGCGTAACCTTGGTAACAGGCTGCATAGTGTGTGAAAGCATGGTATCGCATGTTGTTTGTGTGTAACCCTTGCGGCCAGGCTGCATAGCGTGTGTGAAAGTATGGTGCTGATCGCATTGTTTTAGGTGTTCCCTTTGTACAGGCTGCATAGTGTTTCAGGAAAGTGTGGAAGTTGATCATTACGTTGTTTGTGTAACCTTGTAACAGGCTGCATGAAGTGATGGAAAGCATGTTCTGACTGCATGTTGTTTCCAGTGTTACCTCGGTATTGGTGGCTGCATTAGTGTGTGAAAGCATGGCGTTGATCGCATGTTGTTTATGTTATCTTGTACGGGCTGCATAGTGTTTTGTGAAAGCGGTAGTTGACTGCACAAGCTGTTTGTGTGTTATCTGTATCGGGCTGCATAGTGTGGAAAGTATGGTGTTCACTGCATGTTGCTTCAGGTGGTTATCTTTGTCGGCTGCATAGTAGAAAGTACGCTGCTGATCGCATGTTGTTTGTGTAATACCTTTGTAACAGGCTGCAGCAGGTGGTGGAGCATGGTGCTGATCGCATGTTGTTTTGTGTAACCTTTGTACGGGCTGCATAGTGTGTGGAAAGTATGGTGGATCGGCATTGTTGTTTGTGTGTAACCCTTTGTATTGTACGTATAGTGAGCGGAAAGCATGTTCTTGACTGCATGTTGCTTGTGTGTTACCTTTGTAATGGCTGCGATTAGTGTAAAAGGAAAGCGATTTGGTGCTGGATCGCATGTTTGTTTGTGTGTTCCGTTTGGTGTCGGCCGCATAGTACTTGAACATATGGCGCCGATCGATGTTGTTTTGTGTAACCTTGTACAGGCTGCATAGTGTGAAAGGATGAAGCTGATCGTGACGTTGTTTGTGTGTAACCTTGTAGCAATCACGTGTAACCGAACCGAAGCGACAACAA